TAAAGTCATTGTACAAATTTTAATCATAGCCAGAAAAAACGCGGTTTGCATAGCACATTGAGGAAGCGTTGTAGTGCTGCTTGTCACCAAGCGCTTTGCAGTGTCGCCGAACGCTGCTGCTGTCGCCAGGTGACAGACTCTATTGCAAGGCAACAAGCTTGTCGTCTGGGGCTGCAGTGCGCTGCCTCCGAATCCTTTCCGGAGACAAACTGCATCGATTTTGTAAATAAATAGCCCCTTAATCTGCCGATTTTTTGTATTATTCGAACAGATTAATTATAGTCTTAGCTTCTCAACAAATAATCGTGTCTTTAGTCACTAAGAGTTTTAGCAATTTTACTCGTGAATGGAGTCGGTTTTTAACTGCTAAAGAAAGAAAAGAACTCGACTTTTTCACATGGGAGGTATTTATAGTATTAACGGGGTAGATCTTGACATAGATTTTATTTATACCGCCCTAGAATATTGTGACATAGATACACATTGCTTTAGATTAGGGTGTGATGAAATTATCCCTTTACCGGAAGAATTTGGTGCCATCCTTGGCTTCCCTTCATTAGATCTTGCGGTAATCCCTAGAGTGAATGAATATTATTATAAAGATTTTGAGCGCTTCTTTAATTTAAAGGACAGAGATCTAACAAATATTGTAGATGGTAGCGTAGTTAATCTAAAAGAATTTGCATGCCACTACTTTGATAGACCTTATTCTGAATCTTTTCATGTTTATAGAAGAAGAACTTTTCTCTTTTGCATGCTTAACCAATATCTTCTCACTAGTGGTAGAACTAATGAGGGTCAATCAATTATATTAACTGTTTTAGAGCAAATTGAATCTGGAAGGAATCCAATGCCATTAATTGTTGGAGAGACTATGCTTAGTCTTGATGAATTAAAGAAAAATCCGAAAGCACCTTTTCGGGGCTCCACAATTTTATTACAGGTAGAAAAATAATATTTTTAATTACAGAAATCAAAAACATATTTTTTATAGTAATACTAATTTATTTGCATTGAACTTTTTTGCAGATATGTGTAGGGAATAAATTTCAAGCGTTAACCCCTATCTTGAACCCCACTGTGATCATACACTAAAGTACCGTGGCGTCCAAAAGGGAAGAAGATAGAGCAAAAGAGTCGCCAACAAGTTTTAGGAACTTGTAAACCGTTCACAGGGTGAAGGTTACACCCCTTAACGATCCAAGAGATCGTCAACTCCATAAGGTCTAGAACCAAATAAGGGTTCGGGAATGAAGGTACAAATCCAACCTAAAAGAGATTGAACCTGCCCTAATAATAGGCCTCTACTTTATTCTGATCGTATTCATGTGCGCTTTTTAATTAACATGCAATCAATAGGTTAAACCCTAAACCTGTTTATCTATGTTGGTTGAATATTAATGCACAAATAAACTATTATTGGCGATCACTTGAAATTATAATCAAATTAACCCTAACAAGATTATTAATTATCTTATATAAGCGTGATTACAAGTACAAATTCCCTTTAAATATGCATAAAAGGCGTGATCAAGCAATAATAATAAATATCAAGCAACATAACATTAATAAATAATAATTATAATCATTAATAATCATAACAATAATAACAATCATCATTATAAAATTATAATCATAATCAAAACAATAATATTCATAAATAAAATAATCATCATCAAAATTATAATAATAATAATATTCATAATCATCATAACTTATAACAATTATAATCATAATCATGTTCATGTTAATATTAAAGCATAATAATAATGGCAGGATCCTAGGCATGATACTAATAAGAATAATAACAAATCCTAGCATGTCACTAAGCAATAAAAATCAAATCTTTAACCCTAACATGATACTAACAACCATAAATATTAGGAAGAACATAGGAAGCATTGTAACAATCATATTAAATATTAAAATTACTCTAGACATGATACTAGGAATATCATAATAACAATTTAAACATGATTTCTACATCATAATATCAATAAAAATCAATTAAAGTACTTACTTTGATGCCTCGTACCTCTTTCTAATAACAAAATACACACGTTAGTAACTTCAAGGAAAATAATAAACAAACAATTAAATTAAATAATTGAAATAGAGATTTTGGACCAAACCCTCAGAAATTAAACCTTTCACGCCTAGGGCGAAGGTAACTTCGAATATGGCTAGGTGTTTCTAGATCTTGCGAATGCGGAATTTTGTATTAAAAGGCAAGGTTAGAAAAGAGAAAAAGAAAGATGAATTGATGAATGAATTAAGAGAGAATTAATGATTGCGAATGAAAACTGGTTGTAGGTGAGAATTCGTGAGAATTGGTGAATGAAAACGAAGTTTTTAATACGTAATTTATAGAGAAATCAGCCAAAAAGATAAAAATATCAAAACAGAGCACTTGGCGCACGCAAAACGAGGTTGGCGCACGCAAAACAGAGTTGGTGCCAGCACCAACTAATTGGCGCTAGGCGCCAATGGCTAGCACCAGGCGCCAGGCCTGGTTCCAGGCGCCAATGCCTGGAGTCAAGCGCCAAGCCTGTTTTTGACGCGTTTTTGAAAATCAGATAAGTTTGCCGTACTGGAGGATAAAATCTTACCTTTTCCTCGAAAATGCTTTTTGATTTTAATTAAAACTCTGAAAAGTCAACAAAAGTCAATTTATCAATGCTAATTGAATTAAGAATGAAAAGAACCTTCTAGAAGAAACTAGAAGACTAAAACCATTCCTAATTGCATTAGGAATGATAAATCATATTAGGCCCTCCCTTAGATGATTGGGCCGTAGATAAAGCTCAAACCGGGCCCAGTTTAGTAAATTGGCCATAACTTCCTCAATAGTCATCGGAATTGGGCTTATAATATATCGTTGGAAAGGTCTTGTCAAGTCCCATCCAACTACACTATTATTGGACCCATATCATGGACTAACCAAACTGGATTGGCTGTTTTCTTAAAATAAGTTTTCAAAAATAGAGAGAAGAGAAAAGAAATTAAAACTTATCCGCAACACTAGACTTTCCACACTTTCGCTTCATTCGATTATGATTCGACGTGAAAGGTACTCATCACTGGGTTTGGTTTTGAGGAGACACAAATGGGTGTCTACAATATGGCTAAAGGAGAGACTAGAATTAATTAGTCCTCCTGACAACATTGAAAAATACACTCCAAATTGCTTTGTGAGGCGAAAGAAACGCTTCTCTAAAATGGGTCGCCATGAGTGGAATAAAGTCTTTGCCTCTTGAAACTAAGGGAATAAAGTCCTAACTAAGGGAGAAACCATTTACTCTAAAATTCAATGTAGGTCCTCTAAAGGATTCCTACTAGCTAAAGTCATGGACGATGAAGAGGATGCGGATAAAAATTAGAGGAGGGCAAAGAAAGATTGAAGCATTGCTTAACTTTCAATTTATTAGACTAGTTTAAATTTAAAGTCAATTTTTTTTATCAAGCTTTTACTTAAATTCAATCAATAATGTAATTTTTACTTTATTTTATTAATGAAATTTCAGCTTTTTTTTTAATTAAATCAACTTTTTTAATTTAATTTATTAAAGCAGTGAAAACAACTTTAATTATTTTATTTTATGGAAATTTTCTCGAGTACGGAAGTAAAAAATTTTCCGAAATACACCGAAATTTGCTTAGATATTCGCAGAAAAGCGGCGTCGCTGTTTTGCGTCTGTCGCCAGACGTTGCTGCCTGTCGCCGAGCGATAGGCTCTGTCGCTTTGCGCTGCAGTCTGTCGGCAGGCAACAAACCTCTTTCTGTGGCGCTGCTATTCTGTCGAATTTCTTATTGCTTCGAGGTTTGCGAAAATTAAAGTGGCCGCACCCTGTAAAGGGTTGCCTATGTTTCCTTTCCTAAGGAATCAAGCCAAACGTCGTTCACTTGACTGTCCTACTCAAGTAATTATGGGTAGTACTTTTTATGTTGGTCAAGGTTCGTCATGTTCGAGAACTCATTGCCATCCATTTCAGTTAGTTTTGCTGCACCTCCTGATAGGATGGTTTTGACGATATATGGTCCGGACCAATTAGGCCTAAATTTGCCTCTTGGATCCAAAACGTTTTTCCTTAGAGCTTTTAACACCAAGTTTTCTACTTTGATGTTTCTTGTCTTGACCTTTTTATTAAAGTGCCTAGCCATGCAGGTTTGATAGCATTGGGTATGATGTAAAGCTTCTAGTCGCTTTTCATCGAGTAGAGTTAGCTCCTCATATCTTGCTCTAGTCCATTCGACTTCATCGAGTTTACTTTTAATGCAATGCGTAGAGATGGTATTTCTAGCTCTACAGGTTGTACGACATCCATTCCATAAACCAAGGAGAATGGCGTATTTCCTATTGATGTGCGAATTGACGTGCGATAACCCCAAAGTACGAAATGGAGTTTGTCACGCCAATCCTTGTCATTTTCTGTCATTTTCTCGATAATGGTCTTTAGATTTTTATTAGCCGCCTCAACTGCTCCATTTGCTTGAGGTCTATAAGGGGAAAAGTGATGGTGTTGAATGCCATATTTTTGTAACAATTCTTGACATTCTGCTTGAAAGTGAGTTCCATTGTCACTTATCATCTCATGTGGGACTCCGTATCGACAAATAATATTCCTTTCGATAAAGAGTGCTACATGTTTTGCAGTGAGTTTAGCATATGATTGTGCTTCAATCCACTTTGTGAAATAATCAATTATTACTAGGACGTATTCGTGACCTCTTGTCCCTGGAGGGGTGATTTTACCAATAATATCAATTCCCCATAGGGCTGAGCAAAAAAACCCGAAAAATCAAAAACCCGAAAAACCGAAACGTAAACGATCTGAAAAATTAGGTACCTAACCATTAAAAAGATACGGATCGGGTAACCGAACCATTAAGAAATTAATAGTTCGGGTAGCGGTACTCGTTAACGCAGTTTTGGGTACCCGAATATCTAAAATATCAGTTTTGTTTTTAATAAAATTGGAACAGTTTAGTTATGAAAAAAGCCGTGTTTTTTATTAAAAAAAAGAACAAACAAAACAAAGGAACCCTAATTTGATGTCATTCTTTTTTCATTTCTCACTCACTCACTCAGCCTCCATCCCCCTCTCTCTCCTCCTCCTCCTCCTCCTCTTCTCTAATCTCTGGTTCTTTAAGTCTATCTCAGGTAATTATTCCTTTTCTAGATCTAATTATTTGCAATGGATTCTATTTTTCTTCTAATTGTTTGTTAACTTTGTTTCTCCTCCATTGAAGCGTACTCTGAGTCTCCATTGAAGCGGCTTGCCGTCTTGTGAGCTTTCTCTGCTCCATTGAGATTTGAGGCAGCGTCATTCTAAGGTAAGATGTTTATCTTAAAATCATCGAACATCAATTTCGCATTCTAGGGTTTATCGTCAATTAAATTCGATGTAGTCAATTTAGGGATTTCCTAAGGTGGATTATTAAACTATTGGTAAATTGCTAAAGGTATGAACAATTGAAACCAGCGATATTTGTTGTTAGAATTTTTCTATTTAATTTTTTTAATTTTTTAATTTTTGCCAGAAGAAGTTATTGTTATTTTTCGAGCCAAATTTAATACTCTTGATGTTTCCCTACTTATTTTGCAATGATAGTGTTCTTTAGTCTTAGTTAATGTTTACAATGATAGTGTTCTTTAGTTTGTTGATAATTTATATGAGTTTATGACTATTATTCATTGTGTAATTGATAATTTATATGAGTTTATGACTGTTATTTCCTTGACTTGATTTATATCAAAAGAGGGACATAGCTTGACTTGCGATATTTTTCTCTATGTTTGGTAGTAAAGCTAAATGCAATATATGCAAGCATGTGTTTGTTTGGTAGGGTTGCCGTATACATTCACTATAGGTCTTTGGGTGCAAATGCAGCTTATTAATTATTATGTCTTTCAATACATTAATAGTTGGGGGGATAGATTGAGAACAAGGCAGGTTGTGGCAATTGTAAATTAAAGCGACATCTTTAAGCTGCCAACTAATGACAAATTATCCTCATAATTTCAGTATATTGCTCTCACTGATATATGCAAAAGTGTTTAATCTGCCAACCTTAGTGGCTTACTGATGTGTTTCTTGTTTTTTGTGTATACATGATTGAACTTATTTGTTTTTTTTCTTTTTCATTTGTAGGAGTGTATGGAATTTGGAAGTAGTGGGGAGATGGAAGACTTATCCGCTACAAGTCAAGCTCCTCCAATTCCAAGTCCTCCTCCCGAGCCTTGGGAGTTGACCCTTGTCATATGATGGAAAGTAATGACCCCTTTGAGCAAGATGGTTGAAGCCTTGATTTGTGCTCAAGATTGGTTACGTACATCTCAAGGTCCACTTATACTCGAGGAGAGACTTGAAGATATGGAAAAAATTGAATCAAGTAACATTTATATATTTTCTCTTTTTTTTTTTAGTTTCTTCAAGTCTGATATCTTCCTATTTATTATTTCTTACTTTTTTTTTAAAGTAATTTTACCACTTGGTGAGGAACAATCCCTCTTTGTTGATGATGATTAGAGGAAGGAGCTGTTAGAAGCATGAAGGAGCTGTTATAAGCACGAAAGAACAATCCTTCTTTGTTTGTAATTGGACTATTGAAGGCAGAAGTCATTGATGACTTAAGGCAGCATTTTTTTAATCAATAGACATTATTTTAAGGATATGTAATAAGCTGTATAAGAAACTGTATGTTTGGACTATGGACTTTTTTAGTTTTTCTTTTATAAGAAACTGTTGTTTGTAATTTTGTATCAGACTATTTGGTTGTTATTTTTTTAATTCATGGACTATTTTTTTTTTGTTCAGATGGTTATTTTTGAAATTATGGATTTTTAATGTACTTTTCAGGTATTCAGGTTGAATTTTTATAGTAAAAAATACACAAGTAAAAAAAAAAACTAGAAAAAAACACAGGTGTTAAATACATAAAAAGACCCAAACAAAAAAGTCATCTTATTGGTTCGGTTCGGATATTTGGTTCGGGTACCAAAAATATGGGTACTGTAGGCGTCGCTCGAAGTGCGCTTACATTAAAGCATGTTGTGAATATGCTTGGCACTCATAGGAAGTGAGAATTGACATATACGATTAGGGACAAGGAAAGTACGGAGCCGAAAACAAGTTTTTAAGGAAATTGTAAACCGTTCACGGATCATAAAAAGACAACCACGATAAAGGGACAACGATAGTAACGATTGACCCGTGAAGGTTACACTCCATTCAGAATCCATGAGATTACTAACTCCATATGGTTCGGAACCACGAAAGGAGGATTGGGGATGATGGTACGAAGTGAGTCATGGAGTCACATTCGCCCGTATTGGCCTCTACTCGATTCTTATAGTGAAAAGTGATTCCTGCGATCTCAAAGGCATGCAAACAAAAATTCAATTTGTTCCAAACTATTATTAAGCTAAATTGGTTGTATATTAATGCAACACATTATTCTAAAATATTGTGACCACTTGAATTAATAACAAGATTAAAAAGGAACCTAAACCGGTTGTCCAAATTATCTTATTAGGCGTGATTTTCAATTACATATTCCCTTCAAACATGCAATATGGTGATCATAATAAATATAATAAAATAAACATTAATATTGGAAGCAATTCAACAATAAATTGTTAGTCAAACCAAATAATAATAAACCTAATCATGATACTAGCAACAAGAATAAAAATAAGAGTAATTAAGTGATTAATTACTCACTTTTCGCGTTTCCTTGGATTGTTACATCATGAATAAATTGTTAGTAACTTCAACAAAAATATAAATCAAATGAAAATTAAATTAAATAAAGGTAGATTTGATTTAGTCCAAACCCTTCGTCAATTATACCTTTCACGCCTTGGTTTAAGTATAGAATTTTGGGTATTATATGAACTCCTTGGAGTGCTTAAGGGAAGAATGGTGTAATTAGAAATATAGGTTTAAGGCTTAGAATATGAGAGAGAGAGAAGGGAATGATTTTTGGTGTAAAAGAGAGGAAGAGAGAGTGATTTGGTGATCAAGCTTGTTGATGATTGAAAAAAGGGGAGATATGACCTCTATTTATAGAGAAAAAAGAGGAGTCGAATAATCAAGAAAAGATAAGAACTCGAATCGGATAAAACTCTTGCGATAGACAGCAGTTTTTTGCGGTTTTTGTTTTTATCATATCTTTTGATCTAGATATCGGAATAAGATAAATAAGATATCGTTGGAAATATATTCAAGTCTACTTTCTATGTCAATTATAATCAGATAAAAATATTTTTTAGAATAAAAGATATGGCCGAAATAGTGAGACGGTGTCAGTTTTGGATAGAGTTTGACATTTTATTCATATCTTTTCCGTTATAGCTCGGAATTGATATTATAATATATCATTGGAAAAATAATTTCAAGGGATATCCAACCATATAAAATTTGGATAAAAAAATATGAGGCACGAAAATCATATCTGCCTATCTTTGAACATTTTTCTATTCGGATAGAAATAGGACTTTAAAAAAGAAAAGTTTTATTCAATTTCAAACTCTTTAATCTTATCTTTTCAAAAAGTATAATTAAGATCTTTTAGAAACTTATAGAAGTTTCTAATTAATCCTAATTAGTTTAGTAATGGGATTAAATAATTTGGACCCTCCACATGATCATTGGGTTGTAGGTAAGGTGGGCTTAGGTTCGGTTTGGGCTCAATTTAATATTTTGGCCATAACTTTTTCGTTATAACTCGGATATGGGCTTATATTATATCATTAGAAATCTCTTTTAAATCCCCATTCAACTATTCAATCATTGAACCCAGATAATGGACCAAAATAAACTGAACTAAACGTTTTTATAAAAAGGACACGAAATGAATGATTTTAAAGGATTCGAAATGAATTATTTTGGGTTTAAAGGCACGAAAAGAGGAAAATAAGTTATGGTTTGGGGAAATGGGATAGGAGTTGGGTTGGTTTTATAAAATGGAAATATGGATTTAAACACTCCAAAAATTAAATATTCAACCTGACCAATAATGGCGGTGAAAGGTTGTTCATCATCGGGTTTGGTTTTGGAGAGACATTTTTAGGTGTCTACAGGTACCCGAACCTTATTGGATCGGTTTCGGGAATTGGTTTTAGCCTTAACGGTTATTGGGTACCCGAACCGATAACGTTATTGGGACGGGTACCTGTCCCACGCTCTCCCCTAATTCCCCATGTAGAGAATGGCCATGGTGAAGTGTAGGTGTAGAGTAGAGACGGAGGAACATGTTGTAAGTTGGCGTAAATTTGGCACTTAGGGCATCTTTTTACATATTGATGACAATCCCTATTCATGGTAGTCCAATAATAACCTTTTCGCATTATCTTTTGGACTAGCATTTTGCCATTAACATGGGTTCCACAAATGCCTTCGTGGACTATCCTCATAGCTCTTTGGGCATCCTTTTTCCCTACACATAAGAGAGGTCGACCCTTAGGTACCCTTTTGTGTAACTAGTTGTCTATGAGTACGTATTGGGAAGCCAAGAGTCTTAATGCTCGTTTTGCTCTTTTTTCAGCATGCGGAGGATATTCTCCTTTGGTGAAGTAATTGAGTATATATGTATACCACGATTCTTCTTCTTCTTCTTTTTCATCTTGGACCAATTCATCGTCTTCTATAGCTTGAATGTAAGTTGGCTTATGCCTTTTCCTTATGGTTAGAGGCATTTGCTCGATTTTTGTAGGAATCCTAACCATTGAGGCTAGTCTTGCCAAGGCATCAGCAAATTGGTTTTCCTCTCTAGGTAGATAGGTATATTCTACCTTTTCCAACTGGTTGGTGAGAGTTTCCAGATAGGTTTGGTAAGGGGCTAGACTTTCACTCCTTACTTTTCATCTTTTAGATATTTGATTGATTATCAAGGAAGAGTCTCCGAATATTCGTAATTTCTTTACACCCAATGCTAAAGCTGTTTCGAGGCCTACCACGCATGCTTCGTATTCGGCAGCGTTGTTGGTAACGTCGAAATCTAGCTTTATATAGATAGGAACATGCTCTTCTTTAGGTGATACTAATAGTACTCCAACGCTACATCCCTTTTGGTTTGAGGCTCCATCGAAGTATAAAGTCCAAGTATCATCTTATGTGACCATCAAGTCTTCAACTGGAAATTCGTTGTCATGTACTGGCGTTGAATCTTCTATTGGGAAATCCGCTAGGAAATCCGAGACCACAGATCCTTTGATAGCCTTTTGAGGCATGAGCCTTACATCGAACTGAGCTAAATTGACTATCCACCTTGATATGCGCCCATTGAGTGTAGACTTTTCGAATAGATACTTAAGTGGATCCATTCGAGAAACTACAAAGACAGTATGCACGAGCATGTAATGTCTTAGCTTGGTTGTGGCCCACACCAATGCGAGGCACAATTTCTCAAACGGTGTGTAGCGTACTTCATACTCGAGCATTTTCTTACTTAGTATATTGCATTTTCTTTTCCTTCTACTTCTTGTGCAAGCATAGCCCCCATTGTCTCTTTAGTGACTGTTAAGTACAACCTAAGAGGGATCCCTGGAAGGTGCTAATACGGGAGGATTTGCTAGATAGGCTTTGATCTTCTCAAAGGCTTTTTGACACTCATCGTCCCATATTACTGGCACATTCTTTTTGAGCTTCTTGAATATTGGTTCACATATCATTGTTAGCTTCTATATGAACCTACTTATATATTGCAACCGGCCAATGAATCCTCGAATTTTTTTTTCGGTTTTGGGCGATGGCATTGACATGATCGCCTTGATCTTGTTTGGGTCTATCTCTATTCCTCTAAAGCTTATGACATAATCCAAGAGCTTGCCTGAGGTGACTCCAAAAGCACACTTTGATGGATTCAACATTATGTTGTATTTTCTTAGCCTTTCGAAAATTTTTCTTAAGGCTACTTGATATCCTCGGAGATCTTTTGACTTCACAATCATATCGTCTACATATACTTTAACCTCTTTGTGAATCATATCATGGAGTAGTAAGTAGCACCTGCGTTTTTCAACCCGAATGGCATTACCGTGTAACAGTAAGTACCTCAAGGTGTTATGAACGTTGTTTTCTCCATGTCTTCTTCTGCCATGAGAATCTGGTTGTATCTCGCATATCCATCCATAAATGAGAGAAGCGCATGATTTGCTGTATTATCTACTAAAATATCGATGTGTGGTAAAGGGAAGTCGTTCTTTGGACTTGCCTTATTTAAATCTCGATAGTCGACACACATTCTTACCCTTCCATCCTTCTTCGGAACTGGGACAACATTTGCTACCCATTCGGGGTGTTTGGATACCCTGATAAAACCTGCAGTTATTTGTTTTTGAACTTCTTCTTTTATTTTTAGAGCTATGTCGGGTTTCGCATGACGCAACTTTTGTTTTACAGGTTTCATTCCTGGAATTAGTGATATAGTGTGTTGAGCTATTTCTCTATTAATTCCTGGCATATCTTCATATGACCAAGAAAATACATCGATAAATTCTTTGAGTAGATTAATTAAATCGGTTCTTTCTTCTTTATTAAGCGTTAATCCGATTTTAACTTCTCTTTTAATGGTTGAATCATTTGAGATATCAACCGTTTCAGTATCCTCAATTATCGATGTTTTCTTTTCAAGTGTTTCCATTGCTTTAATAATTTCTTTGTCATTTTCATTGTTGGTTAAGCAATATTTGTCATCTTGGGTTAATGAAAAACACGAGGAGTAAGAGGAAGAGGACATATTATTGAATTCCA